GCATCAATTACTTTGAAGGGTGAATGGGAATTCCTCCCCTTCACAACTCAGAATGACCCACCCTCCACCCGCCCCAGAGCTCTGAGTGCTGATTTTGGAGAGTCTGCCTGCATCCTCCCTGTGCTGTGGGCTAGGATAGGTAGCTCTGTGATGAAATCCTCTCTTTTCTGAAATGCAGTTTCTTGTATTTACCTCCAACATCAAAAAAGGCCAGGCTCACATGTTCTCTCAAATATTGCCAAATTTGGGGCTAAAGCATTTAACATGGTGTCGCAGACATCTTTTCATTAAAAATTCTTTCTTAGGATTTTTCTTCCTGAGAAGCTGAGAGGCATCAGGAACAAAATGTAAACAATGGTTATCTGCTGCTGTGGAATGCAACAGGTGCATCTGTGATTGGCCCATCTTGGATGTTTACAATTAATGGCCAATCACAGCCCAGTTAGCTTAGACTATCTGTCCGAGACACAAACCTTTATTTTCATTCCTTTCTATTCTTAGCTTAGCTAGTCTTCTGAGATGAAACTTTTCCTTCTATTCTTCTTAGTATAGTTTAATGTATATCATAAAATAATAAATCAAGCCTTCTGAACATAGAGTCAACATTCTCGTCTCTTCCCTCACCTGAAAACCCCTGTGAACACCGTCACAACATGGCTCTAAGATGCTGCCTTTCACACTGCAGATTTGGTGACCCCTCCCACTGTAAAGAGGAGCAAAAAGGCCTTCCTCAGTTCCATTCTCAGCTCTGATGCCTTTGAGACAGAGCAGTAACCAGAGCCTGGGTGTTGAAGGGGGATGGTCCCTGTGTTTCATAATCTTTGCTCTCTGTTGGCACGAGGGTGTCCCAGGCATCAGCATGGTTACTGGGAATAGCCCTGGCACCCATGGCAACTGGATTTACTTAATGCATCCCATCACAGGTCTCTGCACGCTGGGCATGTCAGTCGGTGTCAAGCCTAAGCACAAGTGACTGCACAAAGATCCTGATGGCTTTATACCTGGCAGCGTCCCCAGGGCAGCTCAGGGATGGCCCCAAAGCTCATAGATCCCTTCTCCATCTTGTCCTGGGGCAATTCTCCCTGCTGTCTTCAAGGAGTGTGTGTGCACAGCCTCAGCACTGCTCAGTGTCACCTGTTTGTGGCACTTTGTTAAAATTCCTGTGCCATGGACAGGTCAGTCAGGGCAGCCAGGGGCTGGAATCAGGGCAGCCAGGGGCTGGGATCAGTCCAGCCCAGACTTCCCACATCTGCAGGCGTGGCAGTGGTACAGCAGCAGGGATCAGGTGAGGCCGCTCATTTCCTCTGTCATTCTTAGAGCCAGAAAATAGCTGAAAGCTTTTCTCTGCAGTGATGCTGCACATAGATAATGGGTTATAGATTTCATCTAAATGGATGATTTAATCCTGCTTTGTGCCTGCTGGATGCAGGCAAGGGGAATCTCCACTCTCCTGCTGGGACTTGGAGTGTTCACACAAATGGAGAATAAAGGTGCAAATTCACAAAGCTCCTTTCAACTGATATTGTTAAGCAGGATTCTTTATTACTCCTATTTCCATAATGTCTCCTGATGAGAGTTTGATGTAAATTCTGGTTAAGGAGAATCAAATGTTGTTTCAGGACTGAAAAATTGGTTTGGGCTCTGGTTTATTCAGTTATAAATTTCAGCTTGAAAATGCTTTTGAGCTCTCTTCATGGCCCTGAATATCCTCATCAGGGGCTTTCAGAGCTGCACTGGAGCTCGAGCCCACATTTGTCACCTGCATTAAGTTGCAGCAGTGCTGGGCATAGCCACACCATTTCCTACCCCATCACCTTTTCACTCTGCCCCTGCTGCTGGAGGCAAACCCCATTTTTTTGTTGCAAAATAGTTAATCAGGTTATTTATTTCATGTTCTTTCAGTCCCCAGAACCTTTTAGTGTCCTGTTATACACCCTCTGCTGCCATCGTGGGGCCACTTTGTCATTCCAACCTCTTCTCTGTCCTCTCGTGGCAAACTGAGTTCCCCCAGAGCTTGGAGGCATTTCAGACCCACTGAGGTTGTTTGCCAAGGAAGGAAAATCACATTAGTAATTTTTACCTCCCTACATCTTGTCCAACTTCTTTTATAAACCTGAAGCTGCCGGCACCACTACAGGCAGAAGCAGAGGCAGAAGGCTGCCACTGGAGAAAGCAGGTTCAGAGAGGAGAGGAGAGTGTTTGGGAAATGCCTGGACCAGAGCAGGTCCCAGAGGAGGAAATGGGCTCCCCTGTCCTAATGCTGACCATGGCAGGTCTCGATGCTCCAGGCCTGGAAAGGGACCTGGAGTGTCCCTGCTGTTTTCCCCTGTCCCTGGGGCAGGGCTCTGGCTGCAGCCTGCACTCACAAGCTGGAGGGCTGAGGTTCTGCTCATCAGGCCCTGAGGCATTCTTCAAAGAGAAAGATGATGGGGGAAATCTTGTCCCTCCCAGTCCTCTAGTCATGAGGATGCCCTTTGCTTTTCCAAGGAAAAAGATAAGTAGATAAGCTCCCATTTCTCCAGTTGGAAGATTAATTTTTTTTTTTACTATTATTATTCCTTATTCCTTCCAAGCTACTTTATACCATACAAAGAAGGAGAGAAAGGGTAATCTTATTTTCTTCCTCTATTTCTGAGTCACCTTTAGCTGCAGTATTTGAGACCAGCCAAACCTCAGCAATGGCAGCGAATATATTCAGGATGTTTTCCATACGTGTATAAGTATGCTGGCTTCTTAGATGCTGTGACAATTTGTACTTGGCAGACCTTTCCCAGCTGAAACCACAGTTCAAAAGGTTGTTGCTCCCTCATGGAAAAGTGAGCCCTGATCCTACTGATCAGGCAATTCTTGCCCTAAAAAAGTGACACATTGTTCAGCCAAATCACTGCTGCACACAGGGACTCCCTGACAGATCCTGGCAATTGCAAACAGCCCAAGTCAGGATGAAATTACAAGAACAGATTAAGCTCCTATCAAGAGGTAATTAAAGCCAGGAAATAATTATGACAATCATAGTGAATCAATTGGTACAAGGATGTTTGCCCAACAAATGTCATTATAGGCAGAAGCAGGAATTATTATCCATCAGCAGAAATATTCCATCAAATTGCTGTGAATGACCTGGTCAGGTAATTAAAGGGACATTCCAACCCCGCTGCATTATTTGCTGTTAATCATGATTGCTCATATCCATATCTTTACTCAAATAATTGCTTCTGATAAGGCTGCAGATTTATAGGGGTCCCCAAGAGGAGCAGGCAGTGGAGCATCAGCTGTGAGCCCAGAGCAACCCAGGTCAGTGAGTCCTGCTGGGGTGAGTGTGCTGCACGGACTGCCTTCCCCTCTCTCTCACTTTGGGTGGATTTCAGACCTCTGTGATGCCTCACTGAGCCATTGCCATGAGGCCACCCATGTCCTGAGCAGCAGTGCTGGAATATGGGGGTTTCCCTCCTCAGGGCTCCCAGCCTGGCTCAGGGTGTAGTTCTTTCAGCTAAAGGTCCCAGCTGGCCAAAGAGTTTGCAGTCATTTAAAACCAGCATCAGTGGGGAGGAAATTAAAACCTTGGAAGTGTCCTGCTAAGGTAAAACAGCCCTTCAGTGATGACACTGGAGATCTACCTGCTTCTTGGGGTTTGGGTAATTTTAAAAATCATTATTGATAGGAAGGAAAAGTTCCCCAACAGCTATCACTGCTCTTGGGAACTTCAGCAAGCAAATATGGTCTACCCAGGGGACACAAAATTACATCCAGAAAGAGAAAAGAGAAGTTGATCACCAGATTAGCAGCTAGAAAGGTTGTGAAGAGAGGGTAAACTCTGGAGCCAGGGATGGGGTTTTAAATGGTCTCTTAAATAAGGTGCTGCCAGAGAAATGCCAGCCCATGAGAGGCCAAGTGCTGAGGTGAGATCCTGGGGTCAAGGGATTGTGTGACAGCTGTTGGGCAGATAGAAGGAAAGGCTCAGGATTCAGGTGCCCCTTGCCCAAGGATGCTGTGGTTTTGGTGGCTGTTTTCAGCTCCTCCTGCATCACAGGACTGTGGAGGCTGCCTTGTTTGGATTCCAGTAAGATGCTGATCTTTGAAATGTCCTTCTTGCTTTACTATTCCATCTCCTCAAAGCTGGATCAGGCAGGAAAACACAACACTAAAGCTCAAAGTGTGTGTGAGATGAAGCTTATGGTTCCTTCATCCTCTCATATGTTTGCTTTGCAGCCCTCATTAAATATTTGCCCTGTGGTTTACAGTGAATAAATTTCTGTATAAATCTCTCACTCTTGTCCTTTCTCCTTGTGCCTCTTCTCATCTTGCAGCACCTCCAGAGCAGCAAAGAGTCCCAGAAGGGGGGGCTAGAAAGTATTCTGAATTCTTGGACATTCTCCTTGCATGTTCTTTGTGCTGTTTAGCTTCAGAATAAAGTAAAAACCAAGTGGGAGGATTTGATTTGGGGTTAGCAAGTGCCATCTTGAGAGACTGCAGGACAGTGATGAAGGTTTGTCTCTTTGCAGGAAGAAGATAAAAAATAGAGAAGTGTATTACAAATTACAGGTAGAGCTGCTGTGTGTTCCTTGAGGAAGGGTGAGCACCTGGGAATAAAGGGGGAAACAATCTGGGAATAAAGGGGGGAAACATGCCATGGTTTGTGATGAACAAAATGTACTTTTCTTTTCATTTCAGTGAGAAAACAAAATAGGAGGGCCTGCTGTGACTTCAGATCTGTGTTATTTCATTTTTCCTTCTTGAAAGGTTAGAGGATGGGCACACACAAGCCCTTCCTCTATATGTGAACAAATTTTATTTATCATATGTATTTTTTTTTTCGTCTGAAAGCCCCTTGCAGATGTCTCCAGGTGTTTATCTCTGCTGGCAGGAATTCCTGCTTTATTTAATTACAGTGGTGGTGTTTCCAGCCCTGTCTCTGTGGGGCATGTGAACTGCACCACATACACACCAAGGCCTCTTGTCCTGCTGCTCACAAAACTTCATGCTTTATTTCAGGAGAGAACATGGTTTCCATGATGACAACTCTGTGGCAAGTAATTATTCCCATGATTGTCCTGTCCCACTTCTCAGCATCTCTGCCATCCTGGGAGAGGTAAGCCTTTCTCAGGACTCTGCTTTCTTTTTCTCCATGGTTTTTGTTCAAAGAGCCTGCTAGCTGAAAACCCAGCCTTTTAGCTGCCTTCTTGAACTTGCATCTGCTTGCTTGTGGATCTTCTTCCCTAAACAGATTTAGTTAAATGAGTGCAAATACTGTAAATGTTTTTCTTGCTTAAGGATGAGAAAGTTAATTTTATTTAATTCAGAAGAAAATTTGTGACCCCAAAACAAAACACAGTTACAAGGACAGTTTCAAGTCTGTTTTTCTCCTGTGCACTTACACAGCCTGATAAAGGTGAGAGTTTCTGTTTCCAACAGCCTGGTCCCATGAAAACATAACCAGCAATAGCCAACCCTGTAAGTTCACCAAGTTCATCAAGGGGGTCGCCTGCAAGGGCTGGTCTTTGCTGCTCTTTCCTAAGTGCTCTTCAGCTTTGTGTCTCTGGATATTTGTTTATTACTTCTCCAGCCTCTTGTCCTACTCTTTTGTGCTGAATCATCAATAACCCCACATTCCCACATCCTTGTGGCAAGGTGATTACATCAGTAAAAGCAAGGGCAGGTCATTTTCCTGTGCGATGTTTAACAAAGGTATTTTTTAAACTCCCTTTTTCCCCCTGTTTTTGTGAAACTTTGCCAAAGTGGTACAAATTCTTGCCCATGTGTGTTTGGGACTCTCTTGCCTTGAGGCAGCAGTGTTTAATGCCTGTTCTTGTGTGTTTTTAAACCATTTTAAACCCTTTGACTCCCCCTTTTCCCTGTTCCAACCCGCAGGATGGAGCGCCACGCAGACGGGCTCTTCCACAGCGAGCTCAGCAAGATGAACGGCAACGCCTACGTGCAGCAGTTGGTCAAGCACCTGGTGGGCCTCAAGGACAGGTGAGCACCAGCCACACCCACCCTTCTGGGGCAGGGAAGTCTCCAGGAGGATGTGGGATCCCTGCCCTGAGGGTCTGCCCATGGAGCTGAGCTGTCCAGCTGCAGAGCCAGCCCCTGGCTGCCCAGGATGAGGAGGGGAAGGGGAGGGATACAAGGCCCTGTAGTGGTGGGAGGAGAGGCATTGCTGTTTGCTGTGGCTCATGGGGAGTCCCACATGGCTGGGAGGTGCAGCTGTTGTCCCATGTTGTCCCCACACAGGTCCCTGAGGCACTCGGATGGGCTGTTCACCAGTGAGTACAGCAAGATGAGAGGCAACGCCCAGGTTCAGAAATTCATCCAAAACCTCATGGGCCGCAAGCGCAGGTGAGAGGGAACCTCTGGTGTCCCAGTCCCCACCCAGGCTCTCACTGCCACACTGGGCCAGCAGCCCCCACTGAGGCCATGTCTGTGAGCACAGCAGCAGATACAACACAACCTGCAAGTGCTGCTCTGCAGTGGTGGTGGTTTGGTTACATAATTGGTGGTTTGCGGTTTTTAATTATTATTAATTTTCTTTATCTAAACCAGCTCTCCTGGCCCAGTCAACACTGACATACAGGGGAGAGAGGGAGTAAACAAACCTGAGGAACTTTGCTTTCTCTGGTTGTACCAGAGCTTTCTGAACACCAGGTAGGTGGGAGGGATTGGTCACCTCTGTGACTCTGAGCCCCACTATACTGAAGCCAAAAGAAGGCTTTTATGAACAGTCATAGAAAAGTCAGTTGTTAAAATAGTAAAACCCAGGGAAGCAAAAGAATATATTTTCTTAATAATTTCCTAAGAGTTGTCATTCTGGATTGAAGCAATTATTCATCTCATTAGGAAATGTGATCTAATGGTTAAAAATGAAAGAAAGCCTTTGCTACCCTGTCTAAATTCAGCTGCTGATTGGAATACACACCTCAGGATGGGTTGTCCCAGCACCTGGACATTGTCTTTTCCTAATGCCCAACAGCTTTCCCTTAGACATCTCACTCTTAAATCACTGTAATTAGGAGGAATAAACTGGCCCTTAGTACCTCTTGTGCCACAATGGAGGAGAAACACCACTGTGCATTTGTAGAGTGCCTGGCAGCAGGCAGCCATGATCCCTCTATGGGGATCATGACCTGCCTTTGGAGTCATCCCGGAATGTCACCAGGTGGCCTTGTCACACTTTCTGAAGTTCATGCTCCCAGAAATAATATTTTTTCTTTTTTTTTTTTATTTTCTTTTTTTTTTTTTCTTTTTTTGTCCCTGATTTTTCCCTTCCCACAGCCACTCGGACAGAGATGCCAGGGAGGCTGCTGCCATTACCAGCCAGTACATTTGTCCCTTCTCTAAGCAGCTGGTTGCAGACGTGAAGGAAGATACAGATGGTTCTGAATGAAGGTTAAAAGAAAGAAACAGCCAAGGAGACAGCTTTGCACATGTATGGCCTTGAAAATAAACAGGGAAGCTCTTGCTTAGGAAAAATTCTTGAGATAGGCAAATAAATAAAAATAATCCTGTAAAGCAGTCAAAAACCAATGAAACCTTTGAGATTATCCCAAGTGAAATGCATGTGGGTGTGTACTGCTGTCAGTAGATGGAGCCTGGGTGAAGCACATCCCTTCCACTCTGTGTTGGCATCTGGCTGCCTGCTGCTGATCCCAAATAAAAATGGTTAGCTGTGCCTGTGCCTTGGCTGCTCTTTGGGAAACTGGAATAAGGATGGTTCCATTACAAGGTCTTGGATTATTAGGAATGCAGGGGAGGAGCATTTTGCCAGAATTCCCCACATGAAGTATGGTGGGACACATGGCTGGGACTGAGGAGTGCCTACAGTGCAGCTGTGCACAGAGGTCAGAATCAGGGCTCCATGTAGCAGGAACAAAGCCAGATGTTAGGTCTTATGGCAAAGAAATGTTCTGAGAGCTACACAACAGAGATAATCACTGTAAAAGTTATTTCCTCTCCATTCTGCCCCTGGAGTTGAGGGCCCAGTTTTGTCACAGCCACTGAAGACAAAGCTCCACAAGGAATAATTTGTTCCCACCACTTAATGAGGTTCATGTACTGTACCTCTGCCACACAGGCAGATTGCTCCCCTTTGATGGAACAGCCCACCAGCTTTCCTGTAAAACCAATGGATTTTGGAGAGCAGCTCTAAAATAAGGATCTTCAGCTGCAATCCTGTGCTGTGCTGTGCAGCCCTGCCCAGCCCATCCTGCTCCAGCAGTTTTCAGCATCTGTGATGGACCTGGCACCTGCAAAAGGAGCTGTTCTGACTCAAATGCACACCTAAGCATCATTCCCTTACTGAGGAGCTGAACAAGCCTTGGCAGTTGTTCATTTTGGTCCATAGGAAGTCTCTGCTAGTAAAGATTCCTTTTGGAATACTTTTGGAAGGAGTGTTGACAGCCTGGATTTCAGTAAGCTGCTAATAACCACCTGGCTGAGGCACAGCATCTGAAAACTTCCTGAAATCAGAATGAATTTTAAAAGTGAGCAGAGGTCCCCTGAAAAATTCAGGAAGCTGCTGAGGTTCAAATAGTTGAAGATCTCCTGGTGTGGAATGTCCTGGAAGGAGATTCTGGGAAGCATTTCTAGAAGGAGCAGCCACCAGTAAATGGAGATCTGTTTTCCCTACAAAGTTGCTGGGCATTCCCTGGGCTGCAGGTGAGCCTTGTCACTGCTGGGATCCACTTGCTCACCTTGTGGGATATAGGCCCCACAAGAAACCAAATTTTCCCCCTTTCCTGTGGGAGAGACTGGAGTAAACAGGCAGTTTTCCAAGTACCAGCCCTTGTCCTGCGTGCTCAGCTGGGCAAGGGCTTGGCTCTGAGTTCTGAACTGCTTCAAATATATCCTTGTTGCCACAGGGAGTTTAGGATAGGAAAGATCCAGAGAAAAAAGAAGCAGCAAGGATTTATGTGTCATCGTGTTCCATGACTGGTAAATCCTTCAATAAGTCATCCAGTGGGGCAAAGAGGCAAAGGTTGAACCACAGCAATCCACAGCCAGCTGGTGTTTCTTGGTGCCATAAAGTGGTGAACGCAAACAGGGCACAGGGCAGAACAGGGAGATCAGCTTAGTTGGAAAAAGGGATTTTTCAGCAACTGGCAGCTCACCATGGCTATTCCTCACTGGCTTCTCATGTCTGCACTCTTCCTGCTGCCCCTCTTGGCACAGATTTCGGCACAGGTACCAGGTAAGCTCTTTCACAGGGTCCATGTCTTTGAGGAATGTCTCCCATGGGAGGGGGTGGGCCTGTTACAGGTGGGAGGTTGCTGTGCTCCAAGACCCCTTTGCTCTACAGCTTGTGACCACAGCTCTCACCCACCTCCTTCACAATGTGAATCCTTGGGCAATTTTGCATCTTATTTATATGTTTTTCCAGGATGTTCTGTCAGTAACAACAACCCAAGTGTCCCTGAAAATGAGTGTCCTCTTGTGGTGGCTACCATCCATGTGCAGCCAGGGTACACCCTAACAATTGATCCCAGTTACCCCGATGGCCAATTCTTCACCATTGAGGGCTCCGAGCTGCAGCTGACAAAGTGTGTGGACTATGAGGTAAACCTTCAGCTGGCTGGCTGTAAGGATGGGGTGCAATGAGTTTCAATCTGGAGTCTTGGGTTTCCAGGGATTCTTGACCTGTTTCTAGAGGAAATAAGTTATTTCAGTTGTGTGAATTTGGGAGCTTACAAAAAAGATGGAGAGAGACCATTTTAAAGGGCCTGGAATGACAGGATAAAGGGGACTGACTTCAAACTGCCAGAGGGCAGGGTTAGATGGGATACTGGGAAGAAATTCTTCACTGTAAGGGTGTTGAGGACCTGGCACATGTTTCCCAGAGAAGCTGTGGCTGTTCCATCCCTGGAAGTGTCTGAGGCCAGGCTGGATGGGGCTTGGAGCAGCCTGGGCTAGTGAAAGGTGTCCCTGCCCATGGCAGGGGGTTGGAATGAGATGAGCTTTAAGGCCCTTTCCAACCCAAATCATTCTGGGATTCTGTCATCTTGTGTGAAGCAGAAAGGCAGTATAAAAGGTCATTGTGTTCACTTAGGTGGCTGCTACCTTATTTTAGCTCCCTGGAGTGCTCTGTATACAGCCACAGGCATCCTTAAGTTCCCTTTCAATATAAAAACCCACTTTTACTGGAGTGAAGAGCAACAACCTGAGTTAACACCCCACAGGTGTCACCGTACTTGCTGCATGGAATGTTTCTGATTTATTCAATTTTAAAAGAAATCTGTTTGAATTCACCTGAGGTGAGAGAGAATGGTAGATTAGCTCTGCTAACATCTTACAGGAATTGAAGGGAGAGTGCCTGGCAGATGGGGCTGCTTTGATATCATCATAAACAAGAAAACAAGATCCCAGCATTAAGGAAAGAAAGGAAAAGTTAGATAAGACCTGAAAATAAGATAAACCCAGCAGCATTTCTGATTCAGCAAAGCATGAATTTGACTAATTTAGCCAGAGGCTGTACTCTTGGGCTGTTTCTACAGTGAGGGGGTTTGTTTTTCATGCAGGAAGACCCCATACTGCTGCTGTCCCTGACCTGCAAGGACCCTGCTGGCCAGGTGAGTGCTCTCCCATGGCTGAGCCCTGCGACAAGGCATTGCAGGCAGCACCTGCTTCCCTCTGCTCTTTCTAATCCTCACACTGGGATGGGCAGATGTCCTTCTCTTGTGGACAGACGCACTGTTCTCAGTGCCACAGAGAGTCCCAAGGCTCTGCCAGTGGGGAGGAGGTGGCAGCAAGCCCACAGTCCTGCCCAGGACATGGGCTGGCTGCAAACCCCAGCCCCATCTGGCCCCCATCCTTACACCATCCCCTCTGGTCACTGTGCAAAGCAGGATCAGCCCCAATAGTCTATTTTTGTCTTTGATTCTTTGATTTGCCCATTCTGCAGAGCGATTCCTTGCAAATCCTAGTCACCATTCTGAACGAGAACGATAACCCCCCCGTGTTTCCACAGCCAAACATCACCAGGCAAATCCCAGAGGTAAGGGGTTTTGGGAAGGGAAGAGGGCACTGCTCACTGAGTGCTGTGGGACTGAGGAAGGGTCAGCAGGGAGAGGACTTCAATCCATTTCACACAGACAACAACTACAACAATGTGGTTTTTTCAGGATACAGAAGTGGACACAGTCATTGTAGCCCGTGAAGAAGTAACTGCTACCGATGCTGACCTGGACACCATCTACTATGAACTCACCACTACAGTGCAGGTGAGCAGCTCTGGGGACAAAGAGTAGCTCTGAAGAAGAGCCCCAGCTTTGAGGAGAAGATCACTACATTTAACTCACTCAACCTTTACAAAACTCAAACATTGATTTGCTTAGCAGAACAGAGCCATCAATTTGGCAGGTATTGAATTCTCTTATGGCTCACACTTCTAATGCACTGTACAGATTAAACTTTCATCTATAATATTCAGAGCTGTAATGATTGAGGGAAGTCTTGTTGGCATGATCTGTAAACATATCAGGAGACCTTTGTACCTCAGGGAGCTCAGAATTGCACTGAGTCTGATGGGGAAAGCAGTCCTTGCCCTAGCTGCTAACAGCAGCACAGGAAATGCATTGTGCACACAGTTAAACCAATGCCAGCCTAGAGTACAAGGGCTGGCTGTAAACTAAAATCAAAAGGAAATTCAAGAGAAAAACCAAATGTATGTTTGCATCTTTGAAAAGTGTTGTGGAGAGAGCAGACAGTGCCTCTGTTACCTCTATATCCCCAGGAATTTAAGTTTCTCTGAACAGAAACCACCAGTTTTTCAGCTCTGGGATCAGACTTTTCATTCACATTGGTGTAAATTCAGAGGGATTTAGAAATTCAGAGGCATAAGATTAAAGGAGAACCAAAGCAAGTGCAGAAGGTTATAGAGTAAAATGCAACGCATGATACTTCAACTCAGCTTTACAGTTTCTTTCAGTCCAGCTGTATTAGGCTAAGGCAGGTGATCCTGCCAGCTCTCAAAGGCTGAGCCATCTTTGACCTTTTTTGTGCATGGAAGTGAGATTGTTGGCTATTAGGAACACAAAACCAAGGATTGTAGGCAACTTGCTAAATATAGGAAATAAATGAGGTGATAGATTTAATTCAGAAGCTGCTGAGCAGGTGGGCAGTCAAAGCAGGTGTTCTGTGAGAGGAAATTCACAAGAACAAAACTTTCTGACAAGCTAGGCAACTCCAGTGTGCAGTGCCAAAAATTAAGTAGATCAGACATTCCTACAGTGCTCCTCATCCAGGTCCCCAGGATTAAAGGTCCAGTTAGGATGACAAAGATAACAATGAGCAGGATTTGGAATGTGTCTGTAATTGAGTCTGCTATAGGATTTTTCTTTTTCCCTTGCCAGAACACAGACGGTTATTTTGCCATAAGAGGAGTTAATAACC